TTAAAAAACTCATACATAATTAATGAGCTACTAGGCCAATAGAATGAGCCTATTTGGTCACATGCATGGACCTTTATATCTGATAAAACACTCCTTATTAGTATTCTTTATATAAAGAATACTAATAAGGGTGACCTTTATCAGATATAAAGGTCCATGACCCTAGCAAAGGTCTCAGGTTTGAAACCTGATCATTGACCAATGCAGGATGTCAACCGATTTCAGTGAACAGCCAAGAGCGGTTCTATTTTACTTTATGCGTATTCAATGTGGGATGACAAGAGTGCTTTGTAAAGTGATTCGCGCATGATCAGTTTGCCCCATTTATCTCTGAACATATTTGTACGGCAATTTCTCCAAGAATTTTAACGGATTTTAGTTTCAAATTAGTGTTGGAGTTTTTTAAGCCGTCTAAAACACTCGAGATCGTGTTTTATCAGCTGATAAAACACTCTCTCTCGTGTTTTAAACTATACATAGCAAAAAAGTATTAAAATGAGATAGATACAGAACATCCAAATATAAAAAAACTGAAATCAAAGGAAAGCGAAATCTGAAAAATTACATGACGGTCAAGTACGGGAAAAGTGTATATCGAGGCTGTTTTATAACGAACTAGACGCTCAAATGCGTTTACATGGGCTTCCTGTAGCAATGTTATTTACGCCTGGACGGCATGTGTCCTACGCCATCTAAAAATTACATCTAGCTGCAAAGTACCAGTTTTAAAAATACCAGTTTTATAAATGTTTACATTACAGACATCAACAGCAGTTAGCAAGGTTATACGAAAAGCTTTCAACAATATTTACACCGATCAACGTTGGAAACGAAGTGCAATGATTTGTAAGCTTACATAAGACCATAAGAAATAATTGAAAGTATATTGATTTACTAAACTGAACTATTGACGACATGGAATATCGAAATATAAATCCAATGGCGACTCATTCTTGTTCAATTCGCTTTAAATTCACCGTAAATTCCTTGCTCATGAAGATTCTTGAATTCCATAGCATCAGATGTCTTCGTTTCAGCATTGACAGAGTCAGTTTTCATGTCAGTTATTAACGTTCCGTTAGTTTTTAGGTAGCTCGGAGTGATATTTGGAACGTAGTTAAAAACGGGTCAGTTAGTTAAATCTTGAAACAACCCGTTCGAAATGTACGCCTCTTAGCACGTAATTTTTTCGACATCTTCATCGTTCGTAGATCGACCAACCATGTGACAACTATTCTTTTGGGATCCCTGTGGTTCAATTCGCAAAGCATCATGGGGGACTATACACGACGTTGATAGATAGATTGATTGAAGAAAAGGTATATTAAGACATGAGCTTCCACAGGAAGCCCATGTAATAAAGAACACCTAAGGTACACTTAGAGACAAATTACTGGCTCGTTTCACACATATTTGTATACAATTAATAGTGCCGACAGCAACTAATGAGCAACTACAATTCTACGGAATCTTGGTGTGATTTTCCTCAGATTTTAGGAAAACTAAGGGGCTGAGTACTTAGAATAATATGACTCGATACGATAATATATGAGCGATGGAAGGAGAATTCTCTTCCAAAATTTTAAACACACTTTTCACGTTATTTTTTTCAAGTTGAAAAAGTCTCAAATTGCAGGAGTTAAGCGAGGCTAGCGCGCGTATTACCAATCCAAAGCAACTTCTTCTGCGACAAATTAGTTGGGCGTTTGTTGTACACATATATACGAGGCAAGTTTTACAGGGGTTACGTGAAAAACGTGCAGTACCACCATACAATCATGAGGAGATTTCGTACATTAGTAGCCCAAAACAATAAGGGGTCATACCTTGAAATTTAAGTACTCGTATGTCTCGTTCTTTTTTAAGCCGTCCAAGTTTTTGAGTCGATCAGAAGAAAGAAGCTCACATAGACGAAGACCATCTTCTCCAGGCTTGGTGTTTAGATTCACCGACTTACACCAGTCGACCGCAACACAGTTGGACAAACATCCCATCATGTTTTTGGCTTTAGTTGACTGCGTTTTGGCACAATTTGGTAAGTTCAATTTGTGACCGCGATACAAATCAAACAGAATGGGATCGGTGAATCGTAATTCACTTCTAGAGTCGTGTATTCCAAACACCAAAACACAAACGCTGAATAGAAGTGGCAAAGACATCTCTAAATCATTTTAGTATAAGGTGTTGGCAGTACGACGAACCCTTACTCCGGTGCACTTATTTATATAAGTACGATATAAACGAGTATGCTGCATGGATAATTGCTGCTGTTCAGTGCCGTTTACAGCTGCTACAGGCCAAACCAAAATAGACATTAATCATGTCTATAATAGTTGGTAATTGCATTGTTTTTGGTTAATCAGTTGTTTTTATGGCTTGTACGCGCGCTCGGATTTGCTGAAAACTGGCCCGTGAAATCACGTATCCAGACCGCGGGTGACCGCGGGTCCGATCTGGACCGGAAATTGCTAATTTGATGGTCGCGCAGTACGTTGTATCGAGGGAATCAAGACAACTTTGTTTATTAGATTTGAGACTTTCTTTGCAATAAAAAAATTCAACCGAAATGCCAAGCTTTCTCAATGAAAGCACTCAGCTGAAAACAGACGAACTTTCAAGCACTTCGCGGTGCATAATCCTCGTCTATCAAGTTTACTTTTAAAATTTCTCGATGCAAAAAACTCCTCGTCTGCTGGAAAAGAAAGAAAATTGTAATTCTAAGCTTATATTGAGGGACATTCAAGAGTAAACAAATCTACACTGGCGCGGGCCACGACGATAGAAGAATCAAGGAGAAACTGTAATAATAATGTGTTTGTGAGTATAAGTCTTAAAAAACTGAATCTATGAAACAAGGAGCCAAACTCCCCGTCTTTTTAACCGTCAATTACTGAAAATATGATGATTTCTGTGTCATTTTACTCATTTCACTCGTGAAACAAACCGGTGCTATCAGATAGAGGGAGCCAACGGGTTGTAAGTTTAGTTAGCAAGTTCGCACCAGTGACACTTTTCCTATATACTTTGAGTAATTTTTCTACATAATCTACGATGTAAAAGTCTATATAATAAACGAGTTATTAACCTCGCGCTCGGTTATAACCTCTTAATATAGACCCCTTGGATATGAAGTCAAAGTGAGTTTTTGTCTCTTTGGCGGGTATTGAGAACCCAATATTTATTACAAACGACAAGGACAAGGACTGCTTTTGAAGTTGTCGTTATGGCGTGGAAATGAGGTTTTAACAACCATACAGCTCCAGTCTCATTGACATGTAGCCAGAGTAACCCAATGGTATTATCCTGATGTACCTTGCCGAGATTGGAATGGGAAGATCATTAGTAACCACGCCGGTTTATGTTTCCACTGAAAATCTATTGAGAATAGACATGCATTAATAATATAATTGGCTAAATACATCAAAAACCAGAAGTGCGATTTAGCACATGTGAAGAGACGTGCTTCACTGTTGTCAAAGCTCCCTATGGAATCAGACGTTACCTTGACGCAATGGAGTCTTGTGCCGTTGTATTGGTTCCACAAGGTCCCATCGTTGCTGTAGGACAGACTGTACTTGGTAACCCACTGGAGGAATATCGAACGACCTTGAGTAGCTACCTTTGTGACCTTTGTAACTACCCCTAGATCAATCTGTATATATTCTTCGCCTAATCTAAAATTCGCTTGAGAACACCACGCCCTGTTATTTCCTCTGTTTAGACGAGCGTTCGTTGGAAAGCAATTTGGATCGGTAAACATTGAAGAAGCGCTAATATTTTGGTCTGGAATTCGTCCATCACTCATTCCTAGAGGACCATCGCAACCTAAATATGAAAGAGGATTATAATGTGATTAGAGTGACTAATAAAATGCCATGAAAAACTCTAATCCGTAATTACCACTGACTTTTATACTGAAAATGTTACTTGCCGTCAGTAGTAAGAGCTCGTACAGTTTTACATTGTCTTGTGTCTTGACTCKATCCAGGACAATCTGATGCGAGTGATTGTGTCACCGGATTTTGGCAAGTTCGACTGCGTGTTCGGGGGCACGGACAATTCCATGGACTCCAAGGACTCCACAGACCGTCTATGAATTCGATTTTAGTTCAGTTATCGTAAAATGCATGATAAAATGTGTGGTATAATTATGCAGCGATATTTTGCTAAAAATTGAGTAAGATCAAGAATGCAGGTGAAAGGAAATTATTAAATAAAGATTGTGCACAGCTGAAGTCGTCAACTGGAATCACGAAAAGTTTACATGACATTGCAAATTTAATTTCTGTCTTTCAAAACACACTCGCCTGCATTGAAGCATGGCTTTCCAATATTAAAGTGCACATGACACCATTGAAAATTTATTCTCATTGAGAAGAGAAAATGCTGCTAAGTACATCTTTGAAGGAAAGTTGATTTGAAACTGTATTTTCTAAGTTATTGGCAATTGAAACTTAGAAAATGCAAATGAAGTGACTTCTACTAAGGAATGATTTAATATACAAAATCATGAAAGAAGACGTTTTTCTTTTTGTTACATTGGAAAAAGAATTTTCAGCTCTCGATTATTACTATGATTGATGATTTGAGGTCTTCAACCAAGAACAACATAAAACAAACAGTGTAAAAAGTCTGGACCAATTCCTTAGTATTGACGTCATTACATTTGAATTTTGAATTTTCAAATGTCTATAACTCAGAAAATACAATTCAAAATCCATTTCTTTCTTCACAGAAGTACTTGGCAGCGTGTTACCTTTCGGATAAAAGTGATTTCTTAAAGGTTTCATGTGCACTTTAAGACATTACATTACTTGTGATTACATTATTAAGATACCTATGTACGTACCTATCTCACAAACATCTCCTGAAAACTTTCCGTAGCACTTACACGTATAATTACCGTCTTTCAAGAAACACTCGCCTCCATGAATGCATGGCTTCCCATTAAAGACATCACAAGGAGTCTRAAAAACACCATTGTGAATTTTATAGTTGTAAAAAAAACAATGCTTAAGGATCATTAACATTTGACGATCCACGTCTGGCTAACATTATATATGAAAACTATACAAACTATCATTAATAATAAAACAAATAACGAAAAAAATATGATGTAAAATGAGAAAGATGCAGAAAAATCAAATACCATAAAGGGGAAAAATAAACAAAAAGCGAAATCTGAAAAATTACATGACTTCAAGTACGGGAAAAGTTTATATCGAGGCTGTTTTATAACGAATAAAGAACAACTAAAGTACACTCAGAGACAAATTACTGGCTCAATTCACACATATGTGTACACAATTAATAGCGCCGACAGCGACACAAAAGGTGGCGTAACTAATGCCACACAGCCGTTTTTCTCGTTGATGAGAATTTACAAAAATACAGGATCTTTTTGTGATTTTCCTCAGGATTTTAGTAAAAATAGGGRGCTGAGTGCTTAGAATAAACGATGAAATATATGAGCGATGGATGTCGATTTCTCTTCCAAACTTTAAAAAACACTTGTCGCTTTATTTTCAAGTTGAAAAAATCCAGCGTTCTTTGCAGCAAATTTCCTAATGCTGCGCGCGTATTATTACCAATCCAAAGCAAACTTCTTCTGCGACAAATTAGTTGGGCGTTTCTTGTACACATATACATGCACGAGGTAAGATTTTACAGATATGAGTATGAGGGCCGCATGGCACTATGATAAACACGGTATAGAAATGAAAGAAAGTTATAGTGCTTAGAAGGAGGCAATTCCTTTAGGAATAATTCGGAAAAATTATTTTCCGACCTCGCGGGGATAYGAACACAGGAGTACATCCCTGGAATACGAAGTTTTTTACAGGGGCTACGTAAAAGAACGTGCAATACCACCATACAATCATGAGGAGATTTCGTACATTAGTAGCCAAAAACAATAAAGGGTCATACCTTGAAATTTAAGTAATCGTATATGTCGTTCTTTTTTAAGCCGTCCGAGTTTTTTAATCGATCAGAGGAAAGAAGCTCACATAGACGAAGACCATCTTCTCCAGGCTTGGTGTTTAGATTCACCGACTTACACCAGTCGACCGACACACAGTTGGACAAACATCCCATCATGTTTTTGGCTTTAGTTGACTGGGTTTTGGCTGAATTTGGTAAGTTCAATTTGTGACCGCGATACAAATCAAACAGAATGGGATCAGTGAATCGTRATTCACTTCTAGTGGGATGTATTCCAAGAAACAAAACAAAAAGATCCACGACTAGATTTGGTAAAGACATCTTTAAGTCATCTCAGCAAGATGTTGATCGTGGTAGGTAGTCTTAATATAATGACTCTTAAATTCCGTAAAACAGTTAACACTGAGGGCTTTGTATTAAGCGGTAACATAGAGACTTTATTTACACCTTAAGCGTAGTACATGTTTAGTCGTTAATTGCAATGTTTTCTTTTGTGGCTTTAAATTACTCTTAATAGAATTCCTTTTCACAACTACTGTACCAGTTAAAGRCCTACGTGCAWCCATGAGCCTTTGCGGTCGTTTCTTTTGTTTTACTAATGATCTCTTGTTGAAAAGTGCTTTCTGATTGGCTAAAAATCAAAGATTGCAAATTG